CACCTTGCTACGTGTACTGCGTTAGGCTAACCGAGACTTGTCATTTGCACTTATAAATTATTGCTCTTTTGTTAGTTTTGACTGCTTTTATTGTCCTCATTTGTAAGTCGCTTTGGATAAAAGCGTCTGCTAAATGACTAAATGTAAATGTAAATGTAATGTAAACGCCCTGCATACAATGATTAATAAATACAAACACATACAAGCCACACCTCTGCGCCGACAATGAACATTGTAACAAGTGAAATTTTGAAGCTCAAAGTGATGCTCTTAATTCTGATCACACATTAGCATGAGAGTTTGCACAACGACAAACTGACATTATGCTGTATGGGAGACTGGGGCGAGTTGGCACAATTTAAATCAATTTCTGTATACACTGGGAAAAAAAATGTGAAACAATTGGCAAGTAACATGAAATGGCAAGTAGCACACTGAATTAAATGTAAAATTTTGAAGTAGAAAGACTGAAATACTATTTTCTTGTTAAATATAATCTAGTAATCTTTGTTTTATTTACAACAGCGAATAATAATTTTTACAGTTTAGAAACATACTTTAAAGTCTTGGCTACGAAAAAGGCTAGGAAATAATGTGCAGCTTATTTAACACATTGACCTTTTGTGACACCATGTTCCAATACCTTCATATCCTCAGTGTCACAAATGTGATCATTTAACTGGTGACTCTAATAATAATAATAATCATCATCATCATTAAATGTATTTATTTTATTCTATTCTATTCTATTCTATTCTATGGCATATTGGCATTAAAGGCTATATTTGTGGCAAACTAAAACATTATATTTACATTAATAACAATACTTCTTGAATTGTATATAATCATTGAACAAATTATATATAATATTTTAAACTGATATTTGATTTAAAAAAAAAAATCTAATATTTTCCCAGGTGAAATATTTTTGTGAACTTTAAAACTTTATGAACTTAAAAAAAAAAAAGGTTAAAGCAGGACACTCTAATGTTATATGTTTACATTAGCTAATGCATTAGGTATCATTAACTAACAATTTACCGCACTTTTACAATATTTATTCATCTTAAAGTTAACATAAATTGTTAAATATATATACTAGATTTAAAGGGTTAGTTCACCCAAAAATGAAAATTAGCCCATAAATTACTCACCCTCAAGTCATCCTAGGTGTATATGACTTTCTTCTTTCATAAGAATCCAGTCGGAGTTATATAAAAAATTGTCTTTGATCTTTCAAGCTGTTTCATGGCACTCAGCGAGTGTTGCATGCATCAGTCCAAATGCCAAAAAATTAATGGCCTAATGGTTAGAGAGTCGGACTTATAACCCAAAGGTCAGAGGTTCGAGTCTCGGTACTGGCAGGGATTGTAGGTGGGGGAGTGAATAACCAGCGCTCTCTTCCAATACCAATATCTTCCAATGTTCAAGACATGGTTACAGCCTTGCTTAAATGGATAGTTCACCCAAAAGTGATAATTCCCTCATTTATTCCCTTATGTCTCAAACTCATATTTATCTTAAAAGTTTTGAAACCCTTTTACTTTTCATTTTATGGATGTAAACATATCAGTCTATGAAAATATATTTGTGTTCTAAAGAAGAAAGGCAGTCATATGAGTTTGAGATAGAACAGAGTAAATTATGATACATTTTCATTTTTGGGTAAACTCTCCCTTTAAATATTGCTCACATGAAACAAAATTTCATATATTGCACTAACCTGCCAAAACCTGCATCAATACATAGATAGAACTGCTATCATCATAATATAAAAATCCTGTAATTCCATGCTTTTTAAATTCACAAATATTTAAGCCAAAGTGATTCAACACTGCAACAGTGAAATTAAACACTGCAGTTAAACAGTTTTACAAAACTCTGCCACTAAATATGAAACATGACTAGTAGCATGTACATGAGGAACAGAAACTTTCAAAATATGAAGGATGGTCTATAAAATAGAAGTGCACCTATCTGTGAAACACTCAAATGTGTATTTTAGTCCTTTTGGAAAGTCAATAATCAGCACATAGAGAAGTCCAAAGAGTACCATTAAAGCAGTGGGAAAGTCAGATGGTCCTCCATTACCACAGTTTCCTCCAGGATGATGCAGAAGTTTAGTCATCTCTTAGTTCTCTGTGAGAGGTCATCCTCCATGGCTTCAAGGATGCCCAGTTTCACTCCTCTTTATCAATGTCCTAAGAAAAAATTATGTACATTTATTGAAAACTGGTTGAGCAAGAGTGTAGATATAAAAATCAAAGCTCAAATACACTCTTTCTAACAAAACATGGTGCATTATGTGCTAACCTGATGTAAACAACCCACATGAAAACCATGTCAGCACCTTTATTAAATATAGCCACACATTTCATAAACAAATGGTGATCAATGAAAATATGAGAAGAACAAAATTTGAAAACCTACCAAATAAATCTTGGAGATTTGGTTCCCTGAGGTAAAACGGGAGTCCCCATAGAGCCATGTTGTGTCTGTGATGGGGTGTCTGTTGTCTGTAGGAGGGGGAAAAAATTATTATTTACTTCTGTATGATTCCTTACAGATCATAATTGAGTGTTAAGAATACTGAAAATGTATTAGGGATGGACAAAGGGTCAGAAATGTAGGAGTGCTTGGGGCAACAAATCCACAAAAACTGACTGTAAAAACTTGAAAAATTGTAATGCTGGGACAAAAAAGTAATTAATTTACAAGAATAAAAACACCACGGGGACTCAAGTAGACAAAATAACTGTCAATGAAAGTGTATAGCCACTACTTTCAAAGGGATTCATAACCATAGGAATTATACTGGCACGTTAAAATGGAATTCAAAACATGTGTAAAAAGAAAATAAAAAATACAGAAAATTGTCTTTAAGTTTTCCAAACTACAAACATTGTGAAAATCACACAGGTCACAGTTAAATGTAGTGTAAATGTAATGTTTTATCAGAATTTATGTGGACCCCAAGTAGTTGAGTTTTTAACCCACCTGGTTTATTGAAAGTGCAGACAGAATCAGGGTTCAGGCACAGCAGCAGATTTTGACTGGCGCCGGTGGTGTGCTCTTAGGATCTGTATAAGGAAATACACAAATGTGAATGATCAGGTTAATAAAATGCAAATTAATGCACAGACTTTAAAACGTTAGGCATCATACACTTACCGACTCTGTAAATAGTCACAGAAGAAACACTGGCCATTACTAAACAACTGAAGATCACAAACTACAAGAAGTTCCGATCAGCAGAAACATGCGCCTTGTTGCTAGGAGACGCGTGACAAATGAAAACAATGTGTTCTAAAATCGGCTCAAAATATCAAACATGTTTGATCTCC